CTCCTGTAAATGATTAATTAAATTGAAAAATCACTGAAACATAATGAATCGATAATTTTATTAAATCTTATTGAAATATATTCATTGTTTTCTTGCAGTAGAAACTGTATTTACAGAACAATAGTAGGAATTGATGAAATGCTTTTCTTTTTATCATTTTGCCTGAAAAATACGACAGAATAAGCTACAAGTTAAGTTTAGAGTATTGCTTTCAATAAACATATTTGACAATAATAACCAATAGTAGTCGATGTCATTTACTGTATATGAGATTGGTAGTGTTCTATGTTCCGCACTGAATTGAATTACGTATTGTAATATTGAGCATATGTTTCGTTCTAACTGAACTCGATTGAAAAACAGTTGCTTGAATCTAAATTTTACAGTTATATTTTTAAACGAATCACGTTTCCAACTAAAAACAAAGCATGAAAAAACTATGTTCCCAGTGAGAGATAATGAAGCAAAAAAAGAACTTAACCTGAGTAAGCATGATAAACATATGATTCAGAGTACAAAAAGAAAACTATTCATAGAAAAATCAGTTGGATAACATGAAGAAATATTTATTCTAGCTATTATTTATTGAACAGGGTAATCAAAATTTATCGAGAAAAATTTTCGAGGAAATCGAGTAAAAATGAATGAATCGTTCACTAGATAAAGAAACGCATGTGATCTATGGACAATCGGGAAAAGAATCTATATGTAAGAAAATGAATCGTATTGGCTCAGTAATTAAGAGGGATTTTCTCGTATAAATAATACTGAAGAAAATTTATTGATTTTATTCAAACGATTATCGTTACATATTTCTCAGTTCTAGAGGTGCAAAGTGATTCATTTTGAACAAAAGATGATTCGTGGAAGGATTTTAGTATTGTACACTTCAACAAAAATAGATAGGCAGTATACAGAGTATTTCAATTATGCATATCGTACTGCTAAAGAAATATCATTAACTGAAGCAATTCACATTTGTTATGGTTCTCTAGTACTGAGCATATTGGGGTAAATGGAATATGATTTTCAACAGCTACCAATTTATGATATCCAATGGTTTCATCATTGAAATACGACGCAAATGAACACCAACGTCTAGTAGTCTAGAACAATGTTCGATATGTCTTTAACGGTTTGGCATACTTAATAGTTCGATTATTTAATTTCTGCATCATTATTTTTCAATCATAATTACATGCTGAAAGACAAAATCGGAGTGATATATTAATTCACAATGTCAATTAAATTTTTTTTTACTATAGGAAAGATAGAATGAGCATTCGCAATTTCATTGGTTTACTATCCTTAACTCAAGTGAGTTACATTTCTTTCGGTTTCTGTAAATGATCTATTGCCGTCTTTTATGAATGGACTCGAAAGATTGCTTAATATAACCTTACCAAGAGGTAAATGTTCTCGACGGATCTTATACATGTTGCGATGAAGCAAATGTGCAGGTTGATCGCAACATCGACTTGCCAGAGCAACATTTTCATTTATAAATCAAAAAAAAAATTGTGAGAGATTATGTCGAATAGAAAAACATTCACGTGACAAAAAACTCGACTGCTGATGTGCACTGATGTATGAAGTTAATAGACCCAATGTTTCATTCACAAGAAGGAACGATAATGTGATTTTCTTACAACAAGACTTTTTATAATCACCAGAAAAAGAAAAAATGTCATTTGAGTTTTTCTGATCCTAAATCACGTACCATCGTACAGATAGTTTTAATCAATCAACTTGTTGACTATAACCATCTAAATCTTTACAACGTCAAGCACTGATTAAACTACGTTGAGTATCTAGTGAAACAGTGCGTGCTATAGGAATTGAGGATTTTATTGACCATTCAATAATAATGACACGGATATATTTAGGTTGTGGATCAAGATAGTTAATGAGTTGATTAAGGTAAATGATCAAATAAAAAATTTCGTATGTTAATTCAAGCATATATATGTCGTATCGAAGTTTCACCGGTCGACGAAGTTATAACTTCGACAGAGAAATTTGTCAAAGTTATTTTTAATTCACTTATCAATAAATAATTTACCAAATTGAATATTCTGCTGCTGAATGTATGATAAAAACTGAAGTTTTTTTCTAGCAAATACTCATTTATTTAACGATATCGTTAAATAAATGAGTATTTGTTAGAAAAAACTTAATTTTTTATCATACATTCAGCATCAGAATATTCAATTTGGTAAATTATTTATTGATAAGTGAATTAAAAATAACTTCGTCGACCGGTGTAACATCGATGCGACATATTTATATATATATATATATAAGAGGCTATGTATTAATGTATACTGTTGTTTATTTCATTATGATTTTTTGGTTTTTTATTTTGTTAAAAATTCTCACTTTTTTCGTAAAACTGAACTTGCCACATATTAAAATACTCCTTAAATTCGATATAACACACCTGTCGTCTATCTTATACTTATTAGAGTTAGATAAAATTGTTAGTTATCGCTTAATCAAATTGTACCGGAGTTCTATTAAAAGCAAGATAAAAACGTCTCAATCAACAACTTTCAACAATTCTTTATATTTATTAAGATAAATTGTAATTTTATTGAATAGCTACTAAAACTGGTTTTTAGATAATTGCAGAAAAAGCTCAGTCAGATGCACGACCCCAGTGATTATCAAAAAGAAAATAAATATTGCTTCATCGATTATAACGACAGTAATAGATATAGTGAACAAAGAAACTTCCAATAGTAAAAGAAACACTACCAAGAACAAAAATGATAGCTGCTCGGTTCTCATCAGCGTCACTTATATTAAAACGAGGTAAAAACAGTATCGTACCAATAAAGAAAAACACACCGCCAAAGCCTGTAAAAACATCAGCAAATACAACCGATATGTTATTGGCAAGGTTAGCTAGACGAAATCGATGATCAGTTCGATCGGCGACATTGGTACGACTCATTCTGTACACTTTCCAACCTTGTGATGAGAAAATAAAAGCTGAACCAACAATAAATAACCAATCACCAGCGATCACGTAGTCACTTAAAGCTGGTATGAAAAAAATTGATCCAATTAGATAGAGAATTGATCCACACACGGATACAAAAACGTTAATTCCCACTTCAGATCGTTGCCAGTGGCCAAGCAACGAAGATCGCGGATATTTAAAGGCACCGGCATTTGAATTTTCGTATTCATCACGATGCAAACAGCAAAAGCAACACTCTCTCAGATAGTGAGACCATTCTAGTAGATCTGCTAGTAGAAAAAGCACTGAACCAATAGTGAACAGCCAACCACCAGCTATCAAAGCGGCTGGATATGGATCATAGACAGTTGTAAAATACATGCATGACCCAGCAATGAAACAAAGACCGCCCAGCATAAAACAAAATGTCCCATGAGCTATGCGCCATATAAGCGTTTGCCGCTCATCAAAGAACTTAATTTCATTTGTATCATCAGTGGATGTTTTCTGCTCCATGTTGACTTTATTTTGAATGATTATAAATGATTTTGCTTTTTCCTCTTTCTTTCTTATATGAAAATATTGTTACGGTTGAAGAAGCAACCATATAGGTACACTCTATCACTGCAACACGGTTACCATTTTCAATACTGTAGAAAAAAAGGAATGCACAGCTGGTTATAATTTTTTTTTAATAAGATTTATTTGTATTTTTTATACCATTTCTTGATACATAAACTGCGTAATTGGATATTAGGGACCAAAAAAAAGGAAAACGAAAAAGGCTAAGCACGTGTAACAAAACAAAAACATGAAACGCGAGACAAACGGTTGGATATACTTGTGAAAAAGGTACTATATGCTAATTTTGCGCGCATTCAAAGTACACTCCAGTCAAAAAATCATACATCATGCAGTACAAACTCTCGTAAGATCTTACACATACAAAATGATCTATCAGATGTTGACTAACACATGAAATTTTAAATCTTACAATACTCCAAAATTATGAAAAATAAATTTTCCAGCATTTTTTTGTGATATCGAACTCAATTAGTGCATAAATATATCAAATAGCTTGAGGTTATTCTAACTAATGCTATGCTTATTTGAATGAATATAATTTTATTGACTTCTATTAGCCTTAAATATGAAAGAAATTGATCATCGAATTATTTGTAATTATAACCATTGTTTCAATTTCTCGCTGATGCATCATATAACTCAACACTATTCAAAGCATAACTAGCATTCCATCCTCCTGTTACTAACACTTCTCCACTGGCTACCATTGATGCTGTATGTACATATCGCTCATGATTCACACTAGAAGTTGTTATCCAAATTTCTGTTTCCGGATCACACAACTCGGCAGTATTTAAAGCATAACTACCATTTCGCCCACCAGTAACCAAGACTTTTCCATTTGCTAATACTGCTACTGTATGTCGATATCTTGCACCATTCATTTTATCCATATAAAGCCATCCTATACCAGAATCATTTAAATATATCGTATGCACTACACTGAAAAAAAAAAGGTGTCACACGAAACCCTTGAGGTTTCGTCGAGTTTTACGATACCATATAAGTATCCGTAGAATCATACGAAACCAGTATGAGGTTTCGCGAAATCCAAGGTTCTGTAAAAGACTTCAAAGAGTTTTAAAATGAAAAAAAGATTTCGTCCGGAACCCTTCCAATTGTGTCTTACCCCAGAGGTTTGGCCAAAAACCCTTTCGAGTTTCGTATTCAGAAGGGTTTCGTAATAAACCTTGTGTACAATTCGCTCATCACTTCATTACCATTCAAAATAATAACTTCTATTTTCTACTGTTCAGAATTTTCGAAGAGCCCCATTCACACAAAACGAGAACATCAGTTTCCAAGCTGTTCCCAATTTGTAAGAGGATCCCATAGTATAAAAGCTTTTGACCACTACACAAGGAGGCCATCATGTCAGTTCAATATATTTCTGAAGAACCTTTTCGGCCACCACGTTGCACCGATCAAAAATTCAATTGCTGTCACAATAAGATTTTTTATTACACCTCCGGGCAAAATTGTCAAATAACTTTTTAATAGTTTATCGAGGTCCAGCAACCCCAATATGTAGTCAGTTTTTCGCGTCGCGTCCCCATTGGTCAGAAAATCGGTCCCTGCCTAAGTCAAAAACTGTAAAGGTAGATTTTTTATTTCAACTCCGAGATCATTTCTGATGAAAATTTGTAATAGGTTATCGAGGTCCAGCAACCCGAATATGATTTTTATTTAGATCAACAGTCATTTGATCAAATAATAATGGTAAGTTCTACTTTAAAACTTAAGACATGGTGAAGTATTTGTTTCGATTTAGCGCAAGGGTCACTTGAACAAATGATAAGGGTGAGTTGGGATTTGAAAGTTACAAGTTGATGAATTATTTTTTTTCTGTTTAGATCCAGGCTCAGCTCTACAAATACCAATGGTAAGTTCCATTTTTATAAGTTACAACCTGAGGAAATATTTTACGTATATTTAGATCCACCCTCAGATGAAGAAATACTAATGGTGAGTTCGATTTTAAAAGCTACCACCTGATAAATCATTTTATTTCTTCTTAGATCGATTCTCAGATGAAGCAATATTTAATGGTGAGTCATTTAGAAAGTTAAAAGCTGATTAATTAATTTTTTTTTCTTTTTAGATGAAACATCCCACACCGATTGCTTCACCCACCGGAATCTAGAGGAACTGGCAGGAAAGATGCCTGAAAGTCCCCGTATTCTGTAGGGGAACACATGGTGTCGGTGGAACATGGAAACAGTATCCCGGTCGCAAACCTTTCTGATTTTTCTAGTGAGTTCCGACCAACTTGCGATGCCGTTCGGCAAGTTGCGGCGGAAATCATTGAAAGCAATTTGCGAAAGTTGGCGGTCGGAATACTGCTTCCATGTCCCAGCGATATCCTGGGTTCTCCTGCAGAATACGGCGACTGTCAGACAATTTTCCTGGTGGTTTCTACAGAACACGGTTCTTTTTTCTAGAGAATGGGTGTGTTTTGCAGTGAATAGTGGTGGAAAACTACTTCCGTAATGGAGCATAGCACCCGGCGGATCTTTCATTCAATATTGCGTGGTGAATTATACGGAACCCCAAATACGAAACCCCTGTTTTCAGCTATTAAAATTATTTACCAGAGAAATCAGCAATATCAAGTTCTAATAAATCCTTGATCGATGTTTTTTTCCATCATTATTGTGTTATAATATTATCTTGTATATGTTACACGAAAGCGACACACTGACACAGGTCGCTCAATAGACAATTGTATAGATGACTAGATTCAAGTAGCCTGCATCTCGCCAATCGAAAAACTAATATATTCTCCTTGCCAGCTATCTTTCTGTCGTGGAACTATAAGATGCGAAGAGATATTGAGAGTAATTACGTTTTTCATGCTACTACATATATTCATTGAACTTCTTTTCTTCTTTTCCGTTTACCCCATTGCTAGCACGTGTAATACTTTTCATTAGCCTGTATATAAATCAAGAGAAAATAGATTAAAATATTTATTAGTATCACTAAATATATATTATAACAGAGACCCAAAGCAATGATGCTGGATGGCGGATACTAGAGGGATCTCCGGGAAAGATGCGGAAAAGTCACCGTATTCGACTGGAAAGCACGAGAAAGCGCTGGAAAGTGGACGCAGTATGCTGGTCGGAAATCGACAGATTTTTTTCCCGGTGTATTCTGATCAACTTCCAGCCGGAAAACACATGAAACTGATCGAAATTCACAGGAAAAAAACCGGCAATTTCCGACCAGAATACTGCTTCCACTTTTCAGCAATTTTCCGTGCTTTCCGGTCGTTTCCCGACGTACCTCCACGGCCTGGGGAATAAAGCAGTAATAAATGCGATTCCTGAAAGGAATTGAAAATTAACAAGTCTGTAAGAAAGTCTCTAAGTTGTCAGAACCTTCGTTGACGATTACAAAATCCAATTTTCTGTCACCATTAAAATCACCAACGGAAATAGAGAAAGGATACGATGCATAACTTATCGAAAATAACTTCAAATTCGTGAATGAGCCATTACCATATCCAAGCAATATACCCACTGTGTTGATACCATAATTAGCAATAATAATGTCTACAAATGTGTCGCTATTAAAATCACCAACAGCAACTTCGATAGGATAAGATTGAGAACCGGTCGTAAATGTCTTCTGACTCAAAAAAGAACCATTACCGCATCCAAGAAATACACCTACATTGCCACTATCATAATTCGCGACAACAATATCAATAATATTGTCGTTGTTGAAATCACCAATTGCAACAGCCTTGGGAGTAGAGCCAGTTAGCAAACTCTTTTGGCTAGTGAAAGAGGAATTGCCGTTTCCGAGAAAAATGTCGATGGTATTTGTTCCTAAATTGGCAATTGCAATATCCTTTTTATTGTCATTGTTGTAATCTGCAATGACAACTGAGCTCGGTTGAGATCCGTTACCAGTTATGAGTGTCTCTGCTTTTAAAAAAGCTTGATTGATAACTCCGAGTAGTACACTTACACAACCATCAATCTGATTAGTGAGGACGAGATCCAGTCGGGTATCATTATTGAAATCCCCAACGACCACAGTGAGTGGCGAGGCACCACTCGCATATATTATTTGGCTTGTAAATGAGCCATCTCCATATCCGAGAAGTACACTTATTGTGTTGTCCCCATAATTAGCGACAGCTATATCTAGGCTGGCATCGCTATTGAAATCACCGACAGCTATAGATTGCGGTAAGGAACCAGTGGAGTACGTTAATTCAGTTGGAAAAGTTCCATTACCGGATCCTAGGAGTAGTGTAACAGAGTTACTACCAGAGTTCACAATGACAGCATCCAATTTGCTGTCACTGTTAAAATCGCCAACAGCTACAGATCGTGGTAAGGAGCCTGTTGAGTGTGTTATGTCAGTTGGAAAAGTTCCATTGCCAGATCCAAAGAATAGTATTACAGTGTTGTTACCACAATTAGCGACAATGATGTCTAACCGAGCGTCGTTATTGAAATCACCGACAGCTACAGATTCTGGTAAGGCGCCTGTTAAGTACGCCGCTACTCTTGTAAAAGAGCCATTGCCATTTCCAAGAAGGATATCTATGACATTTCTATACGCAGTAGTGACGACAATATCCAGATGGCTATCGTTATTAAAATCACTAACAGCGACTGCAAAGGACCAAGTATCAGTTAAATATGTCATTCGTTGAGGAAAAGCTCCGATGTCATGTTGAGCAAATATATCTATATGATCCGAATTATCATATGCAACAACAATTTCAGAATAATCATCATTATTAAAATCGCCTAAACCAATAACCACTGGAGAAAAATCGAAACTAGCCCCGTAACTTCCGTGATTTTCAAACATTCCATTTCCCTTTCCAAGTAAAGTAACAAAGTTATTAGTACCATGATTGATCACTGCGATATCTACTTGCTCGTCTTTGTTGAAGTCATGAATGGCAATCGAGTCAGGATGAGATTTTAATCCTGTTGGAAATATTAACTGGTTTTCAAAAGTACCATTTCCATATCCAAGAAGAACACCTATGCTATCAGTACCCTCGTTTACAACGATGATATCTAGTAAATCATCTTCATTGAGATGAGAAGTGGCAACATTCTTCAAACGAGTACCAACACTTGGTGCAAACGAAATTTCATTTTTCATGGCTCCTCTATCATAACAAAGGAGAACACTAACAGTATTATCATCGTAATTAGTAACGACAATATCCGGTCGGTTATCATTGTTAAAATCGTCAACAGCTAGATGGTAAGGATAAGCTCCAGTTAAAAATGTTTATTGGCTGGCAAAAGAGCCATTCCCATATCCAAGTAGTAGACCTAAAGTGTTGTCACCACCATTAGTAAATATGATATCTAGGCGGGTGTCATTATTAAAATCGCCGACAGCTACACCAGTTGGCCTATTACCAACGAATTATGTTATTTGACTTTGAAAAGAGCCATTGCCATATCCGAGAAATACACTGACCATGTTTTCATAATAATTTGACACCACAATATCTAAACAGATATCATTATTAAAGTCACCGACGGCAACAAATAGTGGATAATTACGAGTTGAATAAGCCACTGGTTCTCTAAAAGAGCCGTTGCCATAGCCGAGAAGTACACCAATAGTGTTGTTATTTGGATTAGTGACGACGAGATCGAGTGTGGCATCCTTGTTAAAATCTCCAACAGCTAAATTGAATGGACTGATGCCAGCTGGGTACAGCGCATGCTTTGCAAAAGAACCATTGACAGACCCGAGAAGTACACTTACATTGTTGTTAGCCCAATTACTGACGATAATATCAAGTTGGTTGTCATTATTAAAATCACTTACAACTAAATTATATGGAATATTGCCAGTTGCATATATCTGTTGTTTTGGAAAATAGCCATTGCCAGATCCAAAAAGTACACTTATAGAATTATCACCAGAATTAGAAACTACGATGTCTACTATTCTATCTTTAGTAAAGTCCCCGACAACAACAGAGTAAGGACTAGTGTTTGTGCTAAAGTCCGTTCTTCTTGCAAAAGAGCCATTGCCATATCCAAGAAGTATACTTATAGTGTTGCTATGATAATTAGCGACAACGATATCTAGTTGCGTGTCGTTATTAAAATCAGCCACAGCAACATAACTTGGAGCAGCGCCAATGGAATATTTTGTTTGGATTGGAAAGAATTCATTATATCCGAGAAGAATATCAATGCTATCGGTGTCATTGCTGACGACAACAATGTCTAAACGATTGTCTCTATTTAAGTCGCCTATAGCAAGGGATATTGAAGACGTAGATCCTGTCGGATACATCATTGCGCTTGCAAAACAGCCATTTCCATATCCTAGAATTACACCAACATTGTTACTACCATTATTGGCGACAGCTATGTCCATTCTGTTGTCCCTGTTGAAATCACCAATGCCAATGGCATATGGAGAAGCAGTATCGAGCGAATAAGTCGTTTTGGCTTGTAAAGTTTCCGCCACCTTTCCCTAGAAAAACACCAATATTTTTATTCCCACTGTTAGCAACGACGATATCTAGGATAGCATCGTTGTTTAGATCTCCCAGGGCAATTGATAATGGATGGGAATTAGAACCAGTGAAAAATAGTTTTTGAGTTCCAAAAGTACCTTCGCTATTTCCAATCATTACAACAATATTGTTTGTTCCATAATTGACGATTGCAAGATCCATCTGTTTGTCCCTATTGAAATCGCCACTAACAACCATGGAAGGAAACGAATCATATCCCGTTGAGTATGTGGTTGGACTTGAAAAGCTTCCATTGCCATGTCCACGAATGACACTAACACTGTGTGTACCATAGTTAGCAGTGACTATATCTGATGCTGAGTCATTGTTGAGATCTTCCACATGAATCCAAACAACTTGGAATGGTCCAGTTGAAAGGACTGTTTGGGTTGGGGAGGACCCAGTTTCGAATCCAAAAAATATAAGGATGTTATTGGCATCGAAATTCGCAACAATGATATCCAGTCGATTGTCGTTGTTGAAGTCACCGACAGTAACCATGTAGGGGCCAGATTCAATACCGGCCGAGTACGTCACTGAACTTTTCGTGCTGTTCCTCCCATAACCGAAATAGACAGCGACATTATCAGCAGCATAATTTGCAACAACAATATCTAGCCAATCATCGTTGTCAATGTCACCAATGGCCACAGATCGGGGACCATAGTTATATTCGATAGGATTTGGGATCATCTGTTTGAAATTTAGTTCACATTTTACAACTAAATAACACAATAATACAAAAATAGCAACTGAACAGCTCTTTTAGTCCGACTATCATTAGTAGATTGCGCTAGTATTTCATAGTCACGCTGGAACTAAAACCTATAGAATAATGCGATACCATATGCTCTTCATTATAATTGCTTGAACATACTACATAATAGCATATTTACTCAAACCTCCCCTTTAAAAATGCCACACATTTCTCATTTGTATTTAAATTATCATTAAGAAACAGATAGCACTTCATCACATGACAGAAGAACAAAAGATGGTATAGATGAACACTAAAATACTAGCGTCACAATTAAGACAGAAAATAGATGATCCTGCAAAAATGATAGCATCACCGTAAAGACTGCTAAGTGTCGATATCTATTTATGCTTATATTTTTGCCCTTTATAAGAATATCATCTGAATTGATTTCTTGTTCTTTTTGCACGCTTATGGTGCGCTAAGACATCTAAATGAAGAACAGAAGAAATAGCATGAGCGTACTGCTTTGTTTTTTTTTGAGCTGTGAAATAGGTTGGTAACAATACTTGTTAAAAGTAAAATAGTCTCTTGTTTTAGATCAATACTTTTTACGAATTTTCCTACGGAACAAAGTGATAACGGATTCAATTATCGTAATATTTTTCTATGAACAATTAGGCGTAAAAATGAATTAAATATATACACACAACCTTTACAACCGAAAATCTAGGAGCATGGCCACAAAGATATAGAAAACAAGAAGGACATACCTTTCGGGTCTGGTGATGTGAGACAAATTACCAATATACTCATGGCCATAGCTATGCTGGTGAACATTGAAAATCCAAACACAGGGTTACTTATTAAATATTTTATTGGCGAGAAGTAGCGTTTCCTGGTAAAGAGCAACAACAGGCATATTTTACATCAAAAGAAAGGTTCAGACAAAATTATTAGAATCATCTAAGTTTTTCATCAGCATCAATCAAAACATTCTTTTTAGAAAGGAAATACTGCCTATCGCTACAATAACACTACATATAGATGAAGGTCAACTGAACCTAGCAGGAGGCAGCAATTCAAGAGCAATACTTTTCACATAAAAGTATGTAGGAGAGTTCAAATATTGGAAAGATTCTGAAAGAACCGCTCTTTTAATCAATTGAGCCTACCCAATCTAGTCAATCTATAATCATCCGATTTTATTGTTCGGTTTAAATATTTTTCTAGATTTTTACATCATCTGTTTAATAAAATCATATATCCAATCAAAAAAGATCGATGGATACTATAAAGTTTTCAAAAAGATTACACAAACTGCTTTTGTCAAAGTGTGTTTGATCTATTAACACTCATTTAGTACTTTTGATATCAGTCCAAACTCTTAAACATATGTTATTACCCTTTTAGTTTCCTATTGTTTTGTATGAATACTATTAGTTGTACGATACTAATCATCTTTTGAAGGTGGGTTTTCTTGTAAAGAATAAGTATAATACATTCGACTTGGTTGAGCTTCGACCTAAGTAACTTACAATAATCGTAAATTTTTAGATTATGATCTGGGCAAATAAGATTCCTTAGTTCTTTATCTAAGATACATTTCCCCGATATTCAACGATCAGCAAATGGTAATATTTTTTACCTGATTGATCTCACTCAGAATAAAATATCTAAAAGGATTTGTTTTTCTACTACTCCGTCGTCGATTTACTACTATTCTAAAGTCCACCCAGAAGACAATAAATCGTAAAATGTGGAATGAAATCTTCTGAGTGTAGCCGTTTTTCTTTTTGCCACTACTGTATTATTCAACTTTGTATTATTTTTCGTGTTTCTCGATTATCGCTATATGTCTTAACTTAATCAATGCAGTCAAAGTCAAAGTGAACCAACTGTAGTCACAAAATAAAGAAAAACAGAACAATTTTTTCACAGGAGAATTCGCTATCAGACACAACCCTATTGTATAAAGAACATAATAAAAATAGCTATCTTTATAAAGGAAGTGGCTATGTGCACTCAGAAGATAGAATTAATTTATAAAGAAATTTCAAGTTACTATTAACCTTGCATACTCATTATTATTAATCTAAATTCAATATTTTTAATTTTTATGAATTTTGCCTGTTAAATTGTTCCTTAATATCAAAAAAAAGTACCAGTCAAGTGCTGCGAAACCATGCGAACGTAGGAAAAATACCCAATATGAATAAAATTCAACTATTTTTGAAACAGTATTCGTTATCTTTTTGTGCTTCTAAGACTATAATTATATTTTATTATTTCAAACGTATTGAATAGAATTGTCACGTGAAAAGTTTTGCTTAGAGAACAATGGTGATTGAAAGTCCTTCAGAATAATCTTACCAAGAGGGAAAAAACGCGATTTCCGTACTTCATGTACTTCCATATACTTCACTCGTACTTCCATCGTACTTCCATCGTACTTTTATGTACTTCCATTCTACTCCCATCGTACTTCGAAGTGTGGAAGTCGCACTTCCCCCCCCCTTGGTATACTCAATCCTATAAATTCTTTATTATGGAATTTGTTTGATAGTAGTATTGATGTGCTGCTTGTTTCAGAAAATGCTTGTGAAAAACCTCGCTGTACGTAAGAATATAGCAATCATGAGCACTTTCACATTTCAGATTAGGTGCGCTAGTAAAGTTTCCATGATATTCAAGTATGTTTAGCTACGATGTGTTTCGTGCAGAATTTTAATCTTTATTACATATTAATAATTCCCATGAGGCTCATCGTGCCAAAAATAAGGGTTTGGTGTGAGTATGAATGATAATAACATGTCGTGCATGAAAAAGCAATGCCTCCAAAAATTGAAAATAGTACTGACGAGTATTACTGATTAATTATTATCATCACTACGCCATCAGCGCTATTTACAGTCCGATACGCATCTAGCACAGTCGGTTTGAGACTCAGAACATATCAAGAAACTAACTGAAACTATAGAAATACTCAAATATCGTGATGATTTTATTTAAGTTTTCGATTTAGTTCCTTATCACAAAAGATTTTGAAAACTTCACTCCACAATTAAGACTAAGAATTCTTTAAAAATAATAAACTTCCAAAACACATACATGTTTTCATTGTATTCTTGTCGCATATTTTGTGCCTAAAGTGGCAATAATGGTGTAATTTACCAATGGTGTTGTATATTTGATACAAAAAAATATAATTTTGAATGATCATGCAAGATAACTGTTTTTCTCATTTGGAAAAAAATGTAATTTCGATTCGGTGATTCAATGATATGCAATTAGAGCAGCTCCAGCAATAACGACGTATAATCAATCAAGTCACGCAAATGAAGTGCACCCCAGAACGCTATAATTTGTTTTTTTTCTCATCATGTCCAGTGAAATGAGTCAAATAGTTGACCATTCAATCGCAACAGTCTTTCATCCTACAACAGAATTGCTACTAAAATATACTATGAGCAATTTGATTGCAATCTTACTTTACCACTAAAAAAATGACTTGATATCAAAATCAAAATAGGTGTTGGATAGTCTTATGAATTAATCATATCAACAATAGCTATTCACCCGCTTCCTTTTCAGGATGCGGGTCTTAGGTTATCTATTTCCATGAACAATTCTAAAAGTCTCGTGAGGTTTTCTTTGCCTCCTCCTCCACCCTGAAACAATAGGGGACGTTTAAAGCTATACTTCATATGAATATTATTGTACACGAATTGGAAGATGAATGAAACCTAGAAAAGTTTTAACAGGGTCTCATATTGTAGGAATGCGTTAACAATATATTTTAGTTGATTCGCTTATTTATCTATAATGAAATAGTACCTGTACCTGTTTGTGTGGTATTATTCAAGCTAAAAAATTCTCTTCAAAATCTAATATTTTTCGAGCTAATAAGAAGAGAAATTCAACGCACTTCATGTAACTTTACAACGTTAAATTTTAATGCCCTCCCCCCCCCANCTCTGTTGTATCAGTACCTTCGCTTTCATAACAGCTTCATTGTAATTGATATTTCTATGACCATAACATTCGTGTCATATTATAAAAAGCAAATTCGGTCAAAAAACGAGCGTACACGACATATGAACTAAACAAGTTTGTAGAAAAATAGATAAATTTTCAGCGTCATCATTACTGAAATCGCCAACGAAAATAGGCCATGCGCCAGATCCGTAACCCATATAAATTAAGATCATAATTGCAAAATTTCTATTGCCATAGTCAACAAATAGAACCGAATTATTAGTCCCTTGACTAGCAATGGCAATGTATAGTATGATATCATTGTTAAATTCATAAACAGCTACAGAGTATGGATTTGAATCAGTATTCATCAAATAGGTCATCTTGTTTGTAAAAGAGCAACTACCGAATTTGAAAAAAATATCGAAATTATCGTAGCCATAATGAATGGCAACCATATCCAATCAATAATTACTATTGAAATCACCCCACGATGTAGCATATAAAGAAGAACATGAAGAAGTTGAATAGATCGTTGCAATAAAAACAGATACTGTGGCAGATCCGAGAAAAATTGCAATATTTCGAGAAAACGAATCGGCAATTGTGATATCTATTCTATCGTCAATGATTAATTTTGTATGTTTTATATTGGACCTCGATGAAAACGGCGAATGAATGAAGAGTCAATCAATATTGAGAGTTATTGAGATATTTGAGCGACTAGATCTCATTTCTTCCCACAATGTTTTTACTATTTCCCTCCTCATTATATTACTCAATTAGCTGAATAAAACAACATTAATAGCTTTGAATTCACCTAGCTGAGTCGTTATACTTTTCTATGTGCACAAATCTAACGTCTCAAACCATTCTGTAAAATAAATGTTTTACTTAGCAAAGTTGCATATACTCTGATCAATTTTCTCATGTTCTTATTTTTTGATGTTGGTTGGCCATGAAAACGGTTGGCAATCACGTGTGTTACAATAATTTTTTTACCATTCTTTCATCTTTTCATCAGCACATACATCGACTATCAACATTTCAACATGATATACAGACGAACAAAATTACAACTTATAATGTAGAAATCAACAAATAAGATGTTTATTCTTGCTACATTATGTGTGTTCTCAGCCATCTTTCTCTTGATTTGTTTTTCAGTTTACTGGAAATTGGTTCATCAAGATAAACATGTCTACGATATACTTCGCAGTCAAGGCATTCCTGGGGAATTGTTTGTGCCTATTATAGAGCAGATGCGTGAAATTCGTCGTGCTCGTGATAGTGATGCTTTATTTGAGTATCATGAAAATCTTGCAAAAAAACATGGTCTCGTTTTTCTCATTGGCTACGGTCCATTGATGCGCCTGGTCGTTTTAGAACCAGACATGTTGGCTGATATTCTTGGTCGCTCACATGCTACACACTATGCAAAACCAATAGATTTTACTACGGTTCTGAAACCCTTAATCGGTTCCCACAACTTATTAGTGAGCACGGGATTAGAGCATTAACGTGCTCGAAAAATGCACAGTCCAGTATTTCATTTTGCTAATCTTCAATCACTGATTTTTATCATGGCCAATCAAACAGCAAAAGCCATTCAAGCTCTCCGAAGATCTGCAACAGAACAACCCATAGATTTACAGAAGGAAATGAATTCACTTACTTTAACCATCATTACTTCAAGTGCTTTTGGTCAAAGTTGCGAAAGTATGATTGATGCTCGATAGATGATGTCTGAGACATTTATCGAAGCACTAGAAGCAATAATGTATAGAACAATGCATAGGGCGAATTTAATACCTTTTCTTGCTCGTCTACCATTCTGGCGTAAACACATTACGGATCGAGCTACGAGAATGGTGAGCGCATTCGTCGATCAGAGTATTATTGATAGACGACAAGGGAAATCAGTAAGTTCCTGTTCAGGAGCTGATTTACTCGATCTTCTTCTCTACGCTATTGATGACGAAGGGCGACCATTTACAGATGAGGGAATCAGGGAACAAACATTGACTTTTGTTCTTGCAGGCCATGAAACTACCGGAAATCTTATGACATGGATAATGTATGTTCTCATGACTCATGAACATGTTCTACGAGCGTGTCGAAATGAAATTGATCAAGTTTTGCCCGACCGCTTAGAATCAACCTATGATCATCTCAGTCGCTTGTGCGTGTGCGAAGCTGTTATATTTGAAACACTTCGTTTATATCCACCAGCACCTCTGTTTACTCGATACTGCGTAGAACCACATACAATTGGAAGTACAGGTCAAAAGAGACTTTACATACCTGCTCATACAACTATATGGTTCAACACTTATACACTTCACCGTCGAGCAGAATTCTGGTCTCGTCCGCAAGAATTCGATTACACACGTTGGCTACGTGATCCTTGTACAGGTCTCAAGCCCAAACTCGCCCATCCATTCTGCTATCTGCCGTTCTCAGCTGGACCTCGCAATTGTATTGGTCAACACTTTGCTTTACTCGAAGCGAAAGTCATTTTATCGATGTTTTTACAACGATGCGATATTCAAATTGAACCCGGCCAAAAAATCACGCCTGATATTTGGATCACTATGCACCCCAAGTATGGTCTTTTTGCAGGGGTGAATCGGCGACTATAGATTGTGAATTTTATTGTCCTTCTTTCAATCGAAATTTCAGTAAATATATCTTGTGACACGGCTATTTTTTCACTTTATCTTGGGTGTAGCTGTGGTGCTGAGTTGAAATTTTGAACTCACATCCACATCCATACCCCACGGCGGTGCCTAATCTAACGTGACAATATTGAGGTATGATCTTAGAACTTCAATAAAAACAACTAGCTGATTACATGATAAGGAAATCATTGAGAAATAATGCGTAGGTATGCTTTGCATTAATGCATAAAGATCGCTTGTGATAAAATTTTCTTCAACGATAGTGCACGCTCACGATTAGATTCTGTAAAGCTGACTGTAACTCTATCGTCAATAAGATTTAATTTGTATATCTAAGCTAATGAGTGAGCTGATCAGCTCAAATTTTTCAGCGTATGGCATCAACTGTTAGCCCTTTTGCAAGAGAAAACTTGCTTGTTTGATAAACAAAAGTTTCAACATAATTGTGAAATACATAAATGATAACTAAAACTGAACGATGTTCAATGACAAAACAAACTATTAGTCTGATTTATCAGCCCAATCGAATGTGGCTGGGTTTTAATAAACACATTTAATTACAATAGCTGACAAATTGTAGTGATGTAAATATTTATATTTTTAAACTTTCCAGAAAGTTACTCAATTAAAACTTCAATGTCCTTGACAAAAAGCAATTTTTCAGTTGTAGTGTTCCCTTCATGAGGGCTTACACTCGAGATTGTTTATTTAAGAAACGATGCTGTCGTAACAGATACACACAGATTTAACATTTATATTCAATTAACTTTGCCAGCAATGTGACTTCTTGTTCCAAATCTTTATCTTGCATTGAAGCCATTTCTGATTCAAAATAGGCTAAAAATGCTTTGAATTGTTCTTGATATTGCTTCGATACAATTAATTCCGTCGATTGTCGCTCCCAAGGACTTAATTTTTCAGCATTCTTCTCCTTCAAATCCAATAAAGTTTTTCGCTCATTATATTTACACTCTCGTTCGTTGTTGATCCATTGTTTTAATAATGTAACATAATTAACAAGAAGAATAGCTTTGCGTATACCTGAATTGGGGTAATCAATCTCATTAGTCATATGAATATCAATCGTTTGTTTTTCTTTACATTGATTGCCAAGACGATCTTCGTATGTTACTGAAAAATGTGCTATTGTACTGACAACATCTGTTATTGATTTTTTTGTCTTTAATTTTAACAAAACAATGCCACCCCGTGTCTGTTGTTCGTCATCTGTCCGTGAAGGAAATAATGTATTGATTTTAATACATTCTCCCTGCTGAGTTTTATCGCATTCAGGTGAACCATAAACACGTTCAACATCGAATAGATCCGATTGAAATTTCATTTCAACATTGAAAACTAACGGTGTTAAAATCAAATCAAAATCATTGTCTAACAGTTGAATAAATTTTTTTGAATCATGAACAGAAAAGTAATTGGCCCCACGGTGTTTTGTTATCAATGATATTAGCTCAGTATTGAAATCAATGCCGACACCAACAAATGTTGTGTAGATACGTTTTCCTGCTAATTGTTCAATACGTGTAAAAAAGCTTCCTTCTCCTAAACAACCCTGATTGGGTTGTGCATCGGTGAGAAAAAGAATTCGATTGTCATAGACATCGTTTGCCAACGATGAAATACTATCGAACGATGATGCACTACAATCAATACCAGCACTCATCGTTGTACCACCTTCAGCACGAATTGTTGACACATAATGTTTCAATTGTTCGAGATTGAGCTCATTTAATTTCTTCATTGGTTGAATCACTGACGCTTGATCATTAAATGTAATAACAGCTACTCGATCATTTGGCTTCAAATGATCGAATACTTTTGAGACGACTTCGAGAGTTATGAGCATTTTCGATCGACGATCGTAATCATTCTTTTCTTCGCTACTAGCACTAAAAAATAGATAATTTATACTCATGGGGAAATGGAAGCGAATAAGATCTCTTCATTCTGAGAAAACTACAACATCGAATCAGAAGAAACAATGCGATTATCGTCGAATATTTTTTTTTATCGCACATCTTTTAGGGCATTGCTTAACTTTCTAGATTTCTATTTTTAGTAGAATCTAATTACTTACGTATTAGAACGACGACCATCGTAATGATAACGATTGAATGGTGATGACATTGATCCACTGTTATCAATACAGATAACAAGATTCATCGGATTTCGTGTGTAAGTCTCTTCAGTTAGATTTGAATTTAACCCGACAGTCATGTAATATTCATATGTTTGTTGTAGAGGATTCTTTGTGATAGCCATGGAATAGGATGGACAAAATAATTGTTTTTCATCGGTACTTTTTTGTTGATTACCAGTATCAAAAAAATAATCATTAAACAGACCTTCATAGGAAATGTCTGTTATAACAGGTAAATAATTATTTTTAATATTTTCACGAAAATTATTCACATCTTTTGCACCACCCACAGCAAATCCCAATGCACGTGGTCCTGAAGGGCCTCCTCTCAAACCTATAGAACAAAGAAAATCCTGACAGATTTGAAAACTATAGAAAATGTAACACTAACGAAGTACTAGATGAAGAGTTGATTCCTTTTGAATACTGTAGTCGTTCAATGTTCGACCGTCTTCGAGCTGTTTTCCTGCGAAGATGATACGTTGTTGATCAGGTGGAATGCCTTCTTTGTCTTCGATTTTTGCTTTGACTTCTTTCAATGTTTCCGAAGCTTCAACTTCGATTGTGATCATTTTACCAGTCAATGTTTTGATAAAAATTTGCATACCACCGCGGAGACGAAGAACAAGATGGAGGGTACTTTCCTTTTGTATGTTATAATCGCTCAATGTTCGACCATCTTCGAGTTGTTTACCGGCAAAAATAAGGCGCTGCTGATCAGGTGGAATACCTTCTTTGTCCTGGATTTTTGCTTTGATATTTTCTACAGTATCACTTGGCTCCACTTCGAGCGTAACAGTCTTACCCGTGAGTGTTTTCACGAAAATCTGCATGTTGATTTAAATACAATCAAATTTGAATAGGTTAATAGTAAAATAATATTCAATGTGAAAGGTGAATTAATAGAGAAAATCCATTTAACACGAGGTTTTATAGTAGTTATGTAGATGAATCAGTCGAAGCTTTTTCTCACTGATGGTGCAATTCAGAAAGAAAGAATGACACTGTTTCATGACTCATTGTGAGCAGAGACAGAAGAAAAATTAACGTTCCGTTGTTTGAAACGATTATTAAGTATTGATGGTGCAAGATCTTCAAAAACAAATCAAAACATCTTTTATTCTTATACTTTTCGCAAGTACGTACTGTAGATACTAAGCTATTTTATTTCTTCGGTGAGCAGTCATTATCTTGAGTCTTGAATAGAAAAGCAGACTAGATACTCGTTAAAGTGAAAATCAGACTCAAGAAAGTTTCCATTCTTTATAGAGGAGATTATTGATCATAACATGAATTTACTAAGACTCCAATGATATGACCTTATTGTGATAATAGAATTTCTCTTTTCGAATAATAATGGTGAATTATTTCTAAAATTGAATTGATAAGGTATTTGAAACAAATATCGCGAAAAATTAATCATAATATATACACACTAACATAGCAGAGAAAATTATTGAAGAAAAACCAATGTGACTATCGATTCTCTTATTTTTATTTGAAGATCAATTGTCAAAGAAGTTGATTGACATATCAATCAATGTTTGAAATCATACTTCTCGAAAGAAATTACACTGACGCATGATGAGTTATGATACTCGTGAGTTCGCCGGATACGTTTATGACTAACTAATAGGTTCGTTTGCCTATTCATACTTCTATCAAGCCAGAAATGTACTGACTCTCTACAGCCACATGACCGCAACCAGTCATTTGGTTGGGACCAGGAATGGTCTATACTTATATGCAGAATCTCTTTTCCTTCGTAACAGCCATTCAATGATGGCACCTGCAGCTTTTACTACATCAAGGAGTCAAAATGTAACATTTGATAAATATTCGGCTTGCTCCAATATAACCAAAGCGCCTTCCACACATGTAATATCAGTATCAAGACGTTTGATATGATGATGTAATTTTCAACAGATAACACTGTGAGTTATTGCATTTATTGGCAAAGTATCATCGCAAGTGATTTGAATTAAACGAAGATTCCATGCTCGTTTGAATAAAATACTCATTTCGACATCCAAACTGGCTGTAAAGTAGCAATGACAATGAAAGGTCAAGTGCACTTTTTCAAGATTCGATAGATTTAGCATTGTTAAAATTTGTTCCGTTAAGTCGATGGGCCATTCTCGATCAATTTCAAATTTAAGTTCTGCGAACAAAAGAGAAAGGCGTCTTTTTAAAAGAATATTTACACTGAAATGAAAAAAAACTAATCTATATTCACTGTGGACGTTTTTCTCTTGAACAATATGTTTGATTGACTCTAATCGAATATTTTACGGAAGATTTTCAAATGAGAAAAAAAGACTCATTTTCGGACAGCTGCAATGCATCAATTTTCCTATTGAACTTTATAATAATGTATGGGCGTTTTGGATAATTCTTACTTGTTTTGGAATGTTGGCAGATAAAATTCGACTTAAATTAAGCACTAGTTGTCGTATATGCGCCGTAACTGCTGCATTATCACTACCGATGTTCAATTTAGAAGGAGAGATTTCGCATCGGCGGCTTCTAAAGTATAGATAAACTTTCACGAGTCGCTCCCATATATTCAAACCAGATTTCGAACTTGGTCAATGGAGCCAATTTTGTTTGAATGAAATTTTCCCATTGAGAACCGTCAAAAACGAAGCAATCTCCTGATCATAGCGTGGCAATCAGCTGTAGATGCGTTAACATAGGTAAACATGAAAGGAATGATTCAACATCGATGATTTTCATATCAGAAAGCAAGTTCAATGAGAGGTAAGTTAAATGAAATGATCGTGTAGTACCAGCGAATGTAATAATATTATTATTCAATCGATCATTCGAATTTATGAAGGCTCTTATGTGACAGGATACATGATAGCAATGATAATGTGGTCTTAGTATCAGAAAAAAACAGACGAAATTAAGATCGTTGTAAGAGGATGTTGCTTGATATACGTTTTAATTTTGTCTAGATCTTTGTCTTTGACTTTGATGAGAGTCAAAGAATCCAGTCGAATAAATTCGTGAAGCCAAAAGTGCGAAAGAAATAAACCAATTTGGCCATACGTCTCGATTTCATCAGTGAAACTACATTTTTAGGATCAATAATACGTGCCAAGAGAGGCAGATCAGATTTTGACAAATAACGGAAGTCCAGCTTATATTGATTATAGACATCAGCCCTTGAATAAAGTCGTTTGCAGACAAAACGAATTGGAAAGAAAATTGTTTCTGAATCAAGTGCATCAAAAATGTGATGAACAAGTTCGACGGGCAGTGTTTCAAGATTCGATTTCTTTTCAGTAGACATTCGCATATGGAAACAATAACTAACCATATGTTACAACTGATAGTAAAGTTTAAAAAAAACCACCAATTTTTTATTCATCGAAATCTTGCGACAAAATGTGCTATTATTAAATAAAGTAACCCTTTTGAATATTTCAAAATCCAAATGCAATAACCAACGTCTGAAACCAGGACGAAGTGAAAATCATTTATTTACTTTTTTCTAATTCTATCGATGTAGTAGAATATTGTATAGTATTTTTTCGAAATTCTAGAGAATTTAAAGTTCGTTTTCCCTCAGGCGAGAATCTATATACTAATCAAGTTAATACATGTTTCATGTTTTTCAAGAGTATAGATGTCGGCAATATTTTGTTCCACCAATTGTACAGAAAACATTTTAAACGCAAACTAGTAGCAAAATCAAGAAGTTTTTCTTCGCTCTATTCTTTGAAAGTATTGTTGAAATATGTATCGATATCTATTCGAATTTATTCGATAGTGAAGAGAAGAAAAGATTACCTCACATATATAATAATATGAAAAAAATAAAAAAATTCTTTTGTAGTAGATAGCATTTGAAAATGAATTAAAATTACTGAATTGAGTAACACTTTAGTTGTTGATTGATCTATATTTAAAAACATTTCACAATCCAGAAATATAAATTAGAAGATAGTGAGAAAAAACAAAGAGTGAAGTTAGAAATGATTGCAAATATTATTCAGAACAGAACATTTTTTTGTAGCTAAACAAGGAAATTTTTAATTCTAAGTACGAGACATTATAATTGTTGTCGGTATAAAGAAGAAATAAGTGCGGAAACATCGGATTCGCATCCGATTGTTACGTGTACTGCAAAAACTGAGTCGATTTATATATGTTTTGAATAGTTCTGAGAAAAAAAACATTTTTTGAAAAAATCCCTGTACTCCCCCTCAGGGATGGTCTGGTCAATAATGACAATTTTTTCGATAACTCAGCCATTGCTTGACAGATCCCTCTCATCTTCGAACTCGACTGAGATATCTATGAGATCATTCTGTGTACGAAATTTCATGACAATTGGATCAGCCTTTGAGGAGCTATCGTGTAAACGGCCGGACACACTGACCTACTCTATAGTGTACTCACTTTTTGTTTGAGTACACAAAAAACAATGAAACCTGCAATAAATAAAATCATGATTCAATATTTAGCACCTTTTTTTCTTATTTTTAAATACAAGCAGAGGCTTAAGAAAAAACAATACTTCAATTACTTGAAGAAATGAAAGATATATAATACACGAATAAGAATTAATCGTAATTTTCTCAAACATATATTACTTGTTATTGATAATCATTTTTTTGAAATACGTCATAAATTTAAAATTCAACTGGCTTTTCTATATCAACTTCGATAAATCTTTTCATTATTCTAAGACAACTGGTTTTACAAAGTGTTCTCTTTCACGCAGCTAAGATTAAATAGAATATTTATTGTTTCTCTATAGCTGGAGCCGAAGTTTAAAAATAAAATCTTTGCACATTAATTAACATTTTAATAAGTTTCCAGCAAACAAATCCAAGTATTTTGATTAATTATTGCGTAGATGAAATACTCTTTTTTGAGTTGCAATATCTATCATTCAAAAAACATAGATTCACATCAGACTATTTTTCACAGTCCATCATTATATGTTGTTTTATTGCAACTAATGATTATATTTTATTCATGAATTCAAAAAGAAAAAAGAAAAAAATCAATGCTGCGAGTTTACTCCCCACATAATAAGAAGAGCAATGCACATAGCGCTTAATTTCGTGTATTGATTGAAGAGATGCGATGCAGCCGATGTACATATAGAGGCGGTGGCGACTGGGTTGACATTACAGTATTGCTTGTATGTATCTTCACACCTTTTGTCGCATGCTTCATTAGCACATGATGGAATCGAGACAACTAATCGCTCGACTAGCTTGCATCGATCTCCAGTACAGCAGTTACAAGAGCATCGTTCGCTGTCTACCAGAGGTAAAAACATGATTGCCAAGCAGACAAGCGCAAGAACCAACATTTTTGCCGATTGCATTTTATTTTAGTATCAGAGGATAGTATCACTGGGAGTTTTGAAACCTAGAAGTTTGCTTTTGTACTGAATAAAAACCAAAGAGGTTTGTCTCTTTTATAGCTTGATGATAACTGAAATGCGTCATATTGGTAATCAGTAAACAAATATTCGAAATTTAGATGTAGAGAGAATCAAGGAGACTAGAATACGTACAAAACATACCCACACACATCACCTAAAAGGATGATAATATGAGATTCCAAACATGTCAAGATAAAAATGAAACTCATTGATAGTTTGCCAGATGCTACACGCTTCTACTTCACTGATAGCAGTAGTTATTGCACAACAGATGGAAAGACTGATAAAAATTCATGAATTTCAAACTAAACTGTAATAACAAACACAATGATCAATATGGAGATTGCTCTCCTTTGAGATACGCGTTTCTAGACATTGAACTTCTAACGTGCGGGTATCAGTATCACTGCGACAGTGATTATTACTAGATTTTCCCGCAGGTACTCGCTGTGTGTTTGAAGATTAAAAGAAATATACAAGATCTTTTTTATTAGTATAGCGAATTCATATGTATTTATTTAATTTAAACTTAGCACTTAATGATTCGCGTCTAAGATAGAAAATTAAGCATGTTATCAAATAAAAATCGCTAAGACAGACGATTCATTTCCAATCTAAGAAACCAAAATAACATTGACAAGTTGTCATTCACTACGCCTAGACAAAAGATACATCGAAAGCAAATATACAAGCCGAGTTTTCCATGTGTGATAAAATATCTGGCATCATTGTATCGACCCCCTTTATGGAAATGCTCGCCTAAGTGTGCGACTACAAAAGACGAATCTTCTTCGCTTTAGTCTCACTTGTGAATGCATGCAACCCAAGCAGACAAATGTTTTCAGAAACGCGTTTAAACACCACAAAAACTATGTTTCTATACGTTTTGTGTCGTTTTTAGGAGACTGGCCGTGCAAACGCCAATCTTTCATTTTTCACCACTTGAAAACTCGCAAATATTTTGTGGCCATTGTATTATTGTATTCATCCTCGTTAACGATTTAATTTGTCAATTTGATAGCGTTTAAACGATTATTTCAAGTGGCATGCGTGCTTTTTTCCAGGGTGTGGGTGTGTGGGTCTGTAGATTTTCCACTTCTATAGACACCCACACCCACCCACACCCTAGAAAACTATAGTGTTTAAACGCGTTTTTGAAAAATTTTGTCTGCTTGGGAAGAAGCAATCTTCTTTTATGCAATTATCAAAATAGATTTGAGAAATAACATATTTCTGGGATTGTACATGACCTTTTTTTGTTTTTATTTTTACGAATGTAATCCTATATTAATCAGAGTTTCCATGCAAATATTACGCTTAGTTAGAAAGAAATTTCTTCTGTTGTATGCTGCCATCTATTGACTTATTTTCCTATTTTGTATAGAAGAAGAACGACGTAAAAGATAAAGATCGAACCAATCGAAGTTGTTTTTGTCTTGCATCAGTCTTGTGTTCGAATCTCATATAAAGTAGTTCGATAAGATTGAAAAGAAAACTATGAATTGGAATCATTTACGAGATACTCTCATCGATGAATTAGCTGTTGAAGGTCTCGATGGTTGTACATTCGATCATTTATATTCAATTGTTAAACCTTTATTTATTTCACTTAATAATCAATTATCTACGGATACATATCTTCGTTCATATATATGGAAAATACTTCTCTCATGTTCGTGCATTGAACTTTATGAATTACCAGAAAACTTCCAAGCTGTATTATCATCCAATGATCTTGCCATTGAAAATTCTGAATTAAATCATCGTGGTTATTCATCAACATATAATCAACGAAAATTACTTTCAAATAAATCCGATTATTTAATTCTTGATAATATTTCAAATGTCGATCGTATGCATCTTGTTGTTGAACAAAATATTCGTGAATTCCGCATAACACAAGGTCGATTCGATACAAAGCAATTATTCAGTAAATATGAATATGCACTATTGGAATGTATATGTAAAACACGTTCAAAAGGTATACCAACATCGGGCAATGATGGCCTATCGAAAATTTTTAATATCAATAGTAAATCATTATTCTATTATCTTAAACAATTAATATCATTGGATATAATCAAAAAATTAAATCTAACACGTCAATTAGTCGGTACACTTAAACAGCCGATATTAATCATGACACGGTACATAACAACAAATGATTATCTCAATTCAAAATATACAATAATCGATCGTTTAAAAACATATTTAGAACAATGTAAAAATCAATCATGTGAACGAAATCATTTGAAATCCTATTTGTCATTAGGTGAAAAATCATTTCGTTCATTGATGAGAAAATGTAAACGTTTGAATTTAATTGAAAAATATAATAAAACAATGAGTGAGCACGATTTGAAAAAATTTATCAACAATGAAGATGATTCAATTAGTTTAATCTGTATTAACAATCGAACACGTTTACGTTCGTATACATTTTTTCGTTTAAAATCAAATAATATTAGTAAAGATGACGACGAAGAAATAGCATCATCGAGTGAGGATAATGAACAAACGGAAGACGAAGACGAAGACGAAGTTGAAGACGATACTATGTTGGCCGGTGGCGATGATGAAGATTCCGATATGTTTCCTTTATCGGAAGCATCGAGCCTACTGGATCAAAAACATCTTCGTTTATACGTCGATCGACCATTCCATTTTCAGTATTATCAATTATTAGAGCAAGTTAAAGATATTGGTTTATCACAACGAGATTTAGCAAATATATGTCATTTATCATTTTATTCGGCTCGATCGGAAATAAAATCGTTAACAAAAAATATGAAACATATTTCATTAAAAAGCGTTCAACTGAATCAAAAAGGGAAAATTATGGAAAATAGAGTAGGATATCGTTTTCTTATTTGTGATTGAAAAAACAATAAAGTGGTTTATTTTAAGATTGTATTAAAAAAATATATGCCAACAGCAGCAACAAAAGCAACACCATCATCATCAACAACAACGACAAACATTAATATTCGGCAACAGATTATTTCTAAAACACCACGTGCTAAACGAAAGAAGTCGAATAGAACACCAAAAGAAATCGTCCAAACAGCAGCAATAGGTATTATTTTTAAAAACGAATGTTGTTGCGACAGAAGGAGAAAAAATAAAGCCCATATCGATTGATGAAGTGTTTCATTCAGCAAACTTTCACAACATATTCTCTTTGAAATCGTAAGAGCATAAATTTAATTGAGTTCCCAAATTGAAAAAAAATATAAATAATCTTAAGGATAAACACAACGTTATCGGATCGTATGATTAAAAGACAATAGAAAAGGGAAACGCTAAGTTCATAATTAGTCTACGTTAAGCGTTTCAAATCTTTTTGGAAAAACTTGTGCACTGTAATTGTTTTGAAGATGAAACATCACCAGTTAGTTGAGTTATTACATGCTCGATAGTATAGATTAACACTGAACTACTATATTCTAGCCGAAAGTCCATCATCATCACAAGCTTCTCCGTCGAATCCAGCATCACTAATTAAATGTGAACCCCTCGATGCTGAACATTTGGACAATGAACCATTGCTTTCTCGTCTTGTTTCATCGGAAATTTTATGGCGTCCATCAATTCAAACTGTTCCCGCCGAACCTCCAAAGAAAAAATCGAAAACACGAGTAAATCCAGTGAAACGAATAAATATTAAACGTGAACATCGTCTTGATTTAATTCGTTCTTATATGCAAGAACATCCGATATGTACATTAACGGATTTACGTGCTGCTATTATGTCAAGCGAACGTGAGGAAGGCTTAACTATACATATGGATCGTAAAACATTGGATAAATTGGTTGACGAACTGGAAAAAATTCATAAATTTCTATTTCGCTTTACAGCCCGTGTAAAACAATCACGAACAATTATTTGTTTAGCAATGAATACCGACGATATAGCACCGAATTGTGAACGTATACAACAATTTAAAATTGAATTATCACAAGAAACAATTGAAGTCCCATCGACAACACAAACTAAATCTAAAACAATATCACAACAACGATTATCAAACACAACAACAACAACAACAACAGCAGCAGCAACAACAACCGATCAATTAGATCAAACAGTGGAAGAAGAGAAACCACTTGGTGTCGATTCAAAAATAACTATTGATAATCTATTTAATAATGGTTTAGAAGAAGAAAAAATTGCTTTATTAAAAAAGAAACCATTAGAAAATATAACTGGCTTTGGAAATTGTTATGGTTATGTTTATAAATTTCAACGATGTGCCATTTTACATAAATTTCTATTCTATTTAATCTATGGTTATGAAGGCAAAGTTGATACAGAACCATTAGAAGTACGTATGCTTAAATCAATACTTACATTCGCAAAGTCACCAAAAAAAGATGAGCCCGTCCTCAGAAATAAATAGTTCACTGATGCGTGTAGACTAATTTCGGAGTATTTCAAAAATGGTAATATTTTTCTAATGTATTTGTTTCCTTCTTTAGTCTACAATTGATATGGATCAACCACTTGTATCCAACGATCCTGAAGTTCAATCTATACTCGATTCAATTCCAAATGCTCGTCGTTATATCGGATCAAATCAAGGTGCTAATTGGAAAACATTTGTACCACCCTTAGATACTCGTGGTCGTTCCATTCCAGCTGGTTGTCTTTATTTAGATGATTTTCTTATGTGTATGCCTGTATCAATATTTCTTGCTGTTGTCTATGTACCCTATAAAGTTCCTGGCCTAATGGAATTACTTTCACATCCAACCAAACGTTACATTCTCGTTCGAGATCTTCCAGCGGAAATGCGCTATCCACTTGTTGTTCGTCGTCATTATCTATATCGTATAGCTGAAGTATTAAAATATTTATCAACACTTGGTTTGATAACATTCGTCGATCGACCCATTATCAGTCGTTTGGAAAAATTAAATACATTAATTTATATTCATCCAAAAGCGTATCTTATTAATACAATAAATCAAACCAATAATTCCAATGAACCTATTGAAAATATGCCAAATTATCCAAAACAAAATTATCATTTTATTTCATTGACCAATGTGAATCGTTTTTGGTTTGATTTAATTGAAATCGCATTGAATACATATCGTATTAAAATTTTCTCACGTAAACAAAATCGTTCACATATTGTTGATATACTTAAGCAAGCAAATAAACCAATACCAATAGAAAACATAAGTGAAGTAAAAACGCCACTCGGAAAATCCAATGGACCAGCTGGTTTTGATTATGATTTATATTTGTTTTTACGTAAATCATGGAAACTCCCGTATAATAATAAACGTATATTGAAATTACTCAATCGAGAAGCAAATCATTGTTGTATACCTGTTTGCGAACTACGTGTTCCTATTGATGTGGCTCTCAAACGTTCCTATACAAGACATTTAGCTCAAAAACGTAAGAATAATATTCGTAAACGTGGCATGAATATGTTAGTATCAAACTTCGATACAGAATTGAATTCTTCATTTCCAACACCATTGTCATCATCGACATTTCATAGAACAAAACGAAGTTTAAATGTGTCTATTAAACCATCGCATGGTTTCGAAAATTATGGTCATCTATCAAGATATATTATTCCATATGATTCGTTAAATCAACTGCAATTTATTGATAGGCGTAAAAAATTACTCTTTCAATATATTAGAGAGAAAAATAAAACAATTCTAAATCGTTTCAATGATATTCTACGGGATACATCAGTCAAGAATGTTAATCCTCGAAATAATAAAAAGAAACGTAAATTAAACGAAGAACAAGAATCAGATGATGAAGGTAATTTATTTGTCCAGGAGGTGCAAGTGTTGCCCTAACCAGGAGCTACACCCTCAAGGAAACCTTCAGCATAAAAATGAACTTTCGATTTTGCTTTTTTTTAGAACAAGTCAATTCAACAGCACTTCGTGTACGTTGGTCGCCCATAGAAGAACGCGTTATATCATTAATCAATGCATCACTTTCATTTTATTTACCTCGTAAACAACCCAATACTCCTGATATATCTCAAGATTCGAATCCTATCGGAAGTCGCCGCCCAGCGGCGTTTCTACCATTTAATAAAGAACTGTTTCGTGCATGTCTTATTCGTATACTTCCACGTTCGGCACGCTCAAAAACACCGCAAAATGTTGTACGTAAAATAAAGAATGACATGTCACAACAAACACGCATCAGTCAATTGGAACATTTATCTGTACTCTGTTCAACAGATACATTTTTATTATCATTTCGCAATGAATCGAAACGTTATCTTAAGCAACGATATCGATCGAATGAACATTTTTTTCTTTTGCTTTTCGAAAGAATTTACATGAAATTTCAAAATTTTATTCGTACAGGATATTTGCATTGTATTCCACAAGGTACAATTGAGTATTTACCGAATACACGCGATGAACTTTTAAAACAATACAAAATCATTGGAAAACCATCCGTAGAATTACAAGCATCCAATCCATCTGAGTACGTATTAATATAAACTTCCCTGCGACCATCTCCAAAGCAACGAGAGAGAAAAAAAACTTTTGAAATGATTACTCAGAATATAGGAATTCTATAGATTCGTATTTTATTTTTTAATCTTTTTGCTAGATCAACAAAATCAATATTAAGCTCAACTATAAGTATGGCAGCACATAGTTCTCTATTGTCGAACGAACGTTCGGGTACAACAAAAGCATTTATTCTTCATTATATATTTTCTCAATATCCTGAGTCATTACTCAATGAAATTGTGTATCGTTTAATGCATACAGATGCGGTTATAACATTAACAAAATCGAATGATATTCAACGGAAAATAACAAGTGAAGCGTCGACATTTTTAGCTGGCCGAGCTTATCATATCAATCAACGATATATTTATCGTTGGTATACATATATGCCAGCTATTGTTCTTCATGAAACATATTCGTGGATAAATGAAAATATTTTATCGAAGATAAATATTAATGATATTCGAGATGAAATGATAGTAACAATTGATATTGAACAACAAAATAATGTCGCTATAGCTGCGTCATTTATTACATTTTTTGATTCAAATCATTTCGATATTCAATTAGCATTACCGAAAAGTCTTGATAATGAACCCGAAATGATTATGTCAAAGATGCACAAAAATGAAAATGATGATGAATCAAACACGGACGATGACGATAATAATGATGACGATCACGAACGAGTTTTTGAACAAGTTCTTCAAAGTGCACGACGTATTGATCAAACGCGTTACGAAAATATTAATAAACGAAAACTGTCAACGGATAATGAAAATTCAAATAAAAAGCCACGGGTAAGCTGAGCGAGATATTTACTGATGAGAACAAATTTCTATGACCGTAGCAGCCAAAATCTCTATTTAAATATGAGATAGATATGTGCAAAATCAGCCCCAAACATCGGAGTTGGGACCAAAACGATTTTGTGTTTCCACACATCTCTACAAAAAAATCGATTTTTACTTTAGTTAACAACCGATGAAAATGATGTTTCCAGTTCACGTACAAAATCGTCTACTTCGAATCGTCATCAATGTTCGGAGTGTTCAAAATCATTTATAAATCGAACAAGTCTTGTTCGTCACCGTCATCGGCAACATGAAAAACATCATCAAGTGAAATCTGGCAAGACAGCATTACGTCCAGGTTCAACAACACAAAATCCACTTGGCCGTGGTCGTCATGCTACGGATACATCGTCGCTTAGTTGTTGTTCAATAAAATTTGTTCTCTCAACTGAATTTCTTCAAGAACAATATCAACATTTCTTCATGCAAAAATCTTTATATACGATTGATAAATTAATCGAACGTTTTCCATTGTATTCAGCTGTTTACGATCAAGAACAACAAATTGATTATAATGAAAACAATTTATTATATCATACAATTCTTAATACGCATGAATTCGGTTTAACATTCTATCAAATTTATAATCAAGTGAAATCAACGATGACATTTAGCGAATGTGTTAAACAATTAAATGATTATCTAACACGTGGAATTATAATTGCTGGCGGAAGTCGAACACGAATATATGTACATCGAAAACATGCCCGATCATGGCTTATCTATTCGATACGTTTTCGACAACACGATAATAATAATAATCTTGAAACATTGTTAACAAGTGCTTTTGCCGATTCAACTCCAGCAATGGCAAATATAGATAATGATACAACACAGGATAGTAGACAAATAAAATCTTTAAATTTGCCAAACAGTGAGAACATATTAAATAAAAATGGTCAATTGATTTCGGATCAATTCGAAGTAAGAATGCTACATATAAAACAAAAGTGTGGTCTAGATTTTGAGCTGAGAAAGCAGTTTTTTCATGTCCTATTCAACAGTGCATCTGTTGATCATTCATCGCTCTCAATCCGATATTCTCTAGTCTTTCCTAATACATATATATATTTTTTTAGCGTGTTGTTTTTATTCCTCGTCCATGGAAATCAACTGATGGTTCGATAAATTTTGTTGTTTTACAACGTATGATGGAATCATTACTTTTATATATAATTGATCATCCCGGTACAAATCTTGAACATATCTATGAACATTACAAATGTGTCCTTCAACCAGTTGCTATCAATGATTGCATTGAATTATTTCAACAAATGAATTGTTTAGAAACAGTTCAAGTACCATTGAAAAAAACCATCGAAAAACAAATTAATCTCTATTCAAATGAACATTCAGATGATGAACACGATGATGAACATGAGAAAAATCAAAATATTCAATATGATAGTGATAATGATTTTGAACGAATTTTATTCAAAGCAAATTATGACTATCAACAAACAACACTTTATTGTTTTCCAACGTACGATTGCTTAGCAAAATTCGGTGTTTCATTTCCATCATCGTTGATGAATCAACAGCGAGGCATTGATCGAATGCCTTTTCCTAGTTATTAATAAGCCTGTGATTTTTCTTTTGTTGGGTCACAAAAAAAAACAAGAAAGGACAAGACGTTATCTATTGCTTTTATTTCATCTGTTTGTATGTACGTTCTAGTACACTGAAGTCTTGATCTTTATTTCTAAATTGTTATTACACGTGTTGTGATAATAAAATAAATGAAAAATTAATCAAAACCACAGTAGTTCATTATTCGAGGATTTTAAATAAAGGAGCCATCCGAACTATTATTACTGAGTTTTGGACCTTTTGTAAGGTATTCTTCACTCAGAATTGAGAGTCAAATACAAAATCAAAAAGTAGATGTGAGTGCATTCATTCAAGTTTCATTTGATAGCTCTTAATTCACTCTACAATGTGCTTACGATTATGAAAAATATTTGCATCTGAAGTTTGGAGCTATACCGGTGTAAAGGTATGGGTGTGGATGTGGATCAGGGCTGCCACCTGATGAAGTCCAAAAAGCGGAAAACTGATGTTAAAAAGCGGAAAATAGCGGAAAGAAAAACAGAAAAAGCGGGGGGGGGGGGGGACCCGGTCGGTTATTTTNCTTTGAGTTAGTCTCATACTCTACTTCACTATAAATTATAGAGAACAATTCAGATTTGAATTTCATATTTTCCGGTGGTCTGGGACGCCGATCCGGTGGCAGCTCTGGTTGTAACTCAACCACAGTACTTAATATTGTGAACAGTCAAAGTGCATTGGCTCAAATGTATATAAGTACAACAATAAAAAAACATAATGCTTCAATATTCTATCATTCATTTAGTTGATTCATAATCGTAAGGATTACAATTGGCGAATTTTATCCTAGAAATTCACCAAATTGCCGATCTTCCAGAAGCTTGATTAAGAAAACTGCAGGACAACAGGACAAGCTTTTTCGTCCTGTCCTGACCTGTCCTGTCAGCTATCTTGTCCTGGCGGGCGGCAGGACAGGGCAAAAATCAAAATTGCGCCCTGTCCAGTCGGACAGGACAGGACAGGACATCAGGACGTCCTGTCCTGTGCACGTCTCTGATATGCAACACGTTTTATACGAAAAAGCGGAAAAAAGCGGAACAGCGGAAACATAGCGGGAAAAAATTGAAAAAGCGGAAGAGGTGGCAACCCTGATGTGGATATGGTTGAGTTAAAAATACAGTCACATCCACACCCCACACTCAAGCTCTATCGTGGTGAAGAAATGGACCATTGGAACCCTTGGGGGCCGAATTCATACAGAAAATACTTGAATCCTGACCTAAGATATCCTACGTGCCTATGCCAATCATGAAATCATTAAAAAATTGTTTGTGTATTATTTAATACAAATAAACATTTTTATTTTTACCATCATGAGACATCTGACAATAAACAAAATAGACAAACAAAATCAAGTTTTGATTTTTACTATCATTGCGTGCAGGACAACAAGAAAAATTTAAAAAAAAACAAGAAACAAAAAAATCAAACTTGAAGGTCATATAACGTGCATCAATACTGAAAAGAAAAATTTGATGGTGTTTGATTTTTTACATTGAATAATAACACTTACATTTTTTTTTATACCGCGATGGATAATGCTTTTCTTCGTATTGTTGCTTTTTTTTCTTCTATTAACAACAGAGAAATATAAATAGTAATTTAAAAAACGAGAACACTTACTGTTTCGATTTACATACACGGATGTGTTCATTAATGATTGATAACAGTTTATCGTCTTTCTTTTTTTTTTCTTTAATTAATTTATTTATCTTTTTATTCATTTTATCGATTTTGCGATCGAAGTCGTCCATAGTTTTTTCCGCTCATTTTGTAAAGTAATGATTATCTGATTGTCTTCAAGCGACATATTAATGTCAACTGAAGCATCATAACGATCAGGTGAAGCATCATTATGAACAGACGAGTCATCATTGTGATCAGGTGAAGCATCATTATGAACAGACGAGTCATCATTGTGATCAGGTGAAGCATCATTATGAACAGGTGAAGCATTATTGTGATCAGGCGAATTTACATTCAACCTAAAAAATTAATAGATTGTATACAAAAGAACGATCCTTGATATATTCTTCTTATCGATTTTAGTTGAATTCTTCAACTTACCTATAGATTTCATTTGATATATCAACTAGCGAAGCAAAAACAAAGCAATTAAACGTATTAATTCGAGTTATCAAACTTTTTAAAAACTTACCAAGATTTGATTCATCAAGATTGTTTTCTTCAATTTTACTTCTTGGCATACGACGTTTACATGGCGAGATAACAACATCTAAACAAAAATGCCACTATTACATTTCGTCGCGTTCAGATAGCCCGCTGATTGAAATAAAATGATCCCACATTTTCATAAAGCTACTTCGATCTGAAACATACTGATCGCATAATGGTCTTTCTTGTAATAATCAAAAGACAGTATTAACATAGGCGAACTATTTTAGATATCTCAATACAATATTCGAATGACCATCAAGCACAAATTTCGGAGAAGTTTTGAATAGTTCTCTTTAGTGTTATATCATGGGCTATTTCTAAGCAAGTTTGTTATAAGATTTTATCCCGTATGCTCAACACTATTAATTCAATATTCGTGAACAATCATTATAAACACGATATTTTCTTACTACACTTAGAACCATTGAAAATATTAAGTGTACGAAGACTATTACATTCAGTAACTAATCACATATTCAGTGAAGTCTCTTATTAGTAAAGGAACTCTAGTTTCTTAATAAAATAGGATTTAATATACAACATTGAATGGATCTTGACTTGCTATACAATATCATATATTTACTCTTTCATTTTTCATCCGTTCATTTTCTCAGATACGCGTTTTCTTTTTAATCACGTACCGCCTTTATCGAAATAAAATACAATGACGAGCGGCTTTTGTTGTCGATTTTTTGATCGTATTGATTTACATAATGTTTTACATTGTCTACGTGTAGTTTTGTTTAATTGACCTGCGTCACCATCAGCTACAACGGTATGATAAGTATTACCAAGTTTTTTTTAATCATTTTTTTCATCTTAAAATATCTAAATCTAAACAAGGAGATTATTTCATTATATATAAAAATGAATACGATTATGACATACTTGGAATTGGAACTCTATTTAAATGTATATATATTCATGTGCTTGTGTAACGTTCTTGTTGATTGTTATGCTTGTCAAACGCTCTTCGTCAGTGTTATGTTTGTCGCACGTTATTGTTGATTATCGTGTATGTCAAACTTTTTGTTGAATAATAGGCGCATGTATATATTCATGTTAGACCAAGGAAGATGAAATAACCAATGAACCATAATGATTACTAGAGCATTATCAAATATAAACAAAATAATTAAATATACGATAAATAACTTTAATTTCTATTATGTATTTTGAATTTTGAATTTTGAATTTTGAATTTTTTCAAATATACTTAAAAACGTTTTTCTTAATATATGCCGTCATATTACATTTATTGTGGTTAAGGTAGTTACAGTGACACCTACACACATATTGTGTTTGAATATATCCTTCCTTCCTTCCTTCCTTCCTTAGATTAGGTACTGGGCATGGGTCTAAATAAATCACTCGTTTTCATAAAACATTTTTTCCAAATTACTGAAATCTTTTTTTTTGGAGTTTGATCTCTTTCAACGACGATCGTGTTTTTTATTTATTACATGATAATTCACTTTCATGATCTTCCTATCTTTTCTTTACACATACGAATATCTATATAGCTCATCGAATATGTGAAAAGACAACATAGCTCAAGTATATCGGGATAACTTTTTGAGACTGAATATAATCACAAGAAGATTTCATATTTCACGTTTTCCCAAAAAATGATTTATTTTGATAGAAAAATAACTTCATGAAACTTTTGCATGCATTTTGAAATGGTTTAAATATGAACTGTTCACATTTAACAGAGCATTGAAATATATGATCAAGTTGAAAACAAATGTCTTCCTGTGTTTGTCGTATATGGATGGTGCTTTAGTATTTCTAAAACCGAACGATCTTCAGGGTAGTACTGCAATGCCTTCATAAGTAAATCTCTTACTAATGGGTCTTGTACTGGCTGATGTCCATATGGTGGCTCCCAAGCACGATTTTCTGGATTCCAATTTGGCTGTTTACCATATGCCATGTAATATAAGATAGCACCAATGGACCAGATATCAGCTTGTGGTTGATAGTGTTGTTCTTGTGATATCAAAACTTCTGGTGCACTAAAAATGAAATGAAAACTTTTCTTTGAATGTATCTGGAATTTCTTAATTACCTGAAATTTGGCGTTTCATCATATTCGCTTCTAAAAAATACATGTATATGTGATGACTGATCATTACCAACTTTGCTTTTCTCTCTTACTCAAATTCATATTTTGATAAACCAAAATCGCAAACTTTCAAAATATTATCGACACGTACAGTATTCTGCCCTAGTGAAACATCTTGCAAGTAAGATCTTGAAATCTTGGGATTGGTAGGTAAGATCTTATCAAGATCTTTAAAAGATAATTCGCTTGTTCAGATCTTGTCCTATCTGATAAATCTGTACCTAAGATCTTAGCAAGATCATGGCAACGATTTCTTTTACTATTATCTTCTCACAAGATCTTGAATAAAACAGAAAGCGACATCATTAGTTTATTTAGATAGGCTATCTAGTCATTCACCGTTTTTTATGCATACAGAACAGAATATAAGCAACATGATTGAACATGCAAAAACATAACTTTACAAAATAAGTTTTTTTCTAAACTATTTCTCGACTATTGATTAATCGAGAGGATGCTGATCTCGATCGATGGTCGAGAGAGGGCTACCCTAAATTGTTCTGGCGAATATCGGACCAACTTAAAGCCGGTCAGATCTCAACGTCTGACTTGCTTGAGCTATTCGGGACAGGAATGGTTAATATTAAAATATATTGAAAAAATACCAAACACACTTTCAGAATGCATCATACAAGATGTTATGAATTCTTACTTAAGATCTGTAATAAGATCTTGGGTACAAGATAATACAGTTATCTTGTACCTAAATTTTCAAGATCTGTTCACTTATCTGTACCCAAGATCTTGGCCAAGATCTTACTTACAAGATGTTTCACTAGGGTGTGGTACTTGAAATCACTCTTTATGATGAACACAAATCTACAAAGTGTATAGTTGAATGGAATCTTTAATCGAATAGTGAACATCTACATTTATAGCATGTGAAAAAATATCAACACTGAATAATTCTGCCCACATGGTAATGCTTTTATTGAAAATTCTTCACTAATTATTTTGCATGGGTAGTCATCTAGAATGCTACTAAGTCCTTCTTTCACAATCAAAAATGTCTTTTACCATTTCGTTGACAGTGCAAAGTGTCATAAAATACTTCCAAAAGCAGCAAGAAGCCGTTCAATATCATTTTAAGCCGAGACAAAACTAGCAATCACTCGTAAACATGACAAAAGTACTGGAAAGTATCTCGAAATGTTCAAAACAAAATGCAAAAATTCACTTCAAACAATGAAAAATAATAAGAAAAGTAACTTCCTTTCCACTTTATTAATATTGAAGATACTTGAATGTGAGTTTTTCAAAGTTTTTTACGCGATGATTATGCAAAAAGTGTTGAACATATGGTCAAGTCGAACAACATTATATATCATTTATAGAGCAACATTCTAGATGAAAAAATAAGAAATATCAGCTGTTCAAGTGATACCATAGGTTGTTATCACATAAAGAAAATGTCATCAAAATAGACTCTTATAGCACTAGAACCCATCTTCGACCTACTATTCTTTTAGGCAATGGGACTAAAAATTTGTTTTTATAGGGTGAATTAATGAACTGTATAAAATAATACATTAAAAGCGAACCAATGGTTCGATATTTTGTGGAAAAAACTTGATTATTCAACGATTGTTTTATCATGGTGTTTCAGTAAAGTTCGAGTCTTTAGAAAAGTTGCCAATCGGATCAGAAATGGAGAGAAAGAAAAAAGATTATGAGCATCATTTTTTTTCAATGAAAACCGAATTACAAGCAGTTTTAAGGACGGAATAAGGTTCCATTTATGACCCTTTCGTGCTTAGATTCTTTTTTTTGGCTTGTTACATATATCGCTACGTAAGCGGGGAATTCATGTCGTGAGTTGAATAATTTCGAATGTCAAGATGAAAAGTAAACATAAAATGCACGGGTAGCGTCTAGTTCAAATTGGTTTCACATACTATAGTTATAGATTTTGATTGTTGTAGCAGATTACAGGTTTCTAATTGAAATACTACTGTTGTTGACTGACACTAGCATTGGGTCTTTCTTGTGAATATGCACCGTGCACTGTTTTCTATAGAAAATTTCGTTGTATATCATCATTGCACGTGATTGAAAATGTCAAACGAAATAAGAAGAGATTAAAAGACCTGTGTTGTCCGAATAGTCTCAATTTACGCTTCAAGATGTGTTCAAATCACATTATTTTCTTGCTCCAGATCTTCTATACGAAAGTGTAACTGCGAGTGACATATGCATTTTTACATTCATATTGATGTTTCTCTACATGGCGCCGATCTTGATACCGGTTACTTGAGTAGATCAACTATGTTATCAATGCATGCCATTGCGTGCAGTAGTTAACAGAATTTTTTAAATTCAATCTATAGACTTCTTCTTAACATGTTTGGCATTGAAAATTCAATACAACCAGAGGTATGGCAACATAAAATTTAATACAATATTTAGGTGTCACTGAAAAGACACTTAATTTTTGATGGAATCGCATTTTACACTTTTACTAAATCTGTTTTATGATCAGATACTTAGCAAACAGTCGGCTAGTGTGACGTAAAAGTTTTTTAGATTACTTTACGTTTCTTGTATATCTACTCTTCCTCGTGCAATAATTTTACTATCGTTAGAGAATGATCTGCTACTCAATGCACCTTCTAATTTTGTAGTTCAGACCTCGAGAGCTTGTGCCGTATATTGCCAAGTCTTACATTTCGATGTACGCCCCATCAATGAGCTTTTATAGGATATTCATCGGAAAACAGTGCTGCATACGAATACACTAGAGAAAAACTACCATACAAAACTTACGGGGGTTCAGATTTTTGAAACGAAATTGAAACCCACGTAAGGTTTCTCAAAAATTGGGTTCCGTGCCATTCTTGTATTTTAGTTGGGACAAAAAGGGTTCCTCAGTAACATTTCCCTATTACATCTCATATCCAATTGACAGCTCAATGCATCACTCTTTAAACATCTATTTTCATATAGTTATAATTTTTTCTGGCTATCTGATACTTTGCTACTATCCTACACCTATATCATACCGCGCATAAATATTTCTAATATTTTTCATGTGTCTCTAAGTCCCCAAATATCCTTCTAAATGTATCCATTTACTGTAATCTCAATTTTTGTCAACAGTAAAAATGCCGAAAGCAAAAATGTGGGTGAGAGTGAGGATGCATTGGTGTGGATGTCAGTGATGGAAATTCTGACTTTCATAAACTATCATTTTCGACACAGTTTACTTTCGACCAAAGTTGAGAGAATCCCCTTTACACCTATCCGTAATAACCTATTCCTAAATTTTTTCTTATCCCATTATTGTTAAATCTGCTCTCTGTCTTTCATATACTAAGACCTTTTATGTATGGCGAGCGCCTTCATTGCAAGTTGAAGGTCTGATTTGTATTCTTCAGCTCGTTTTTTTCTATCTGTATCATCTTACCATTTTGAATAACCGATTACATGTCACCATATAATTTCGCTCAAAAAAGCAAAAATTAAGCTTTGTTTAGTGCATAGAAGGGTTGAACAGAGTATTCTGTTATCCGTAGATGATTTTAGGGTAGATGTAAACGAGAAAGCAGAGAAATGCAGCGCCATCCATTGCATGTGTGATTGATCAACATTTGCTCTTGTTGTTATTGTTGAAAGAAGGAGGAGAGTGGATTGCACATGAAATCTTTTAATCACTATGATGTTGATATTGATATTTTACGAAACACTATCACTGGAAAAAACACTTATAGGCTTTTCACGAAGCTCAGCTGACTCTGACACATTTTGAAGATTCCGTAAAATTAGAGGGGCACTAGCAAAGACTTGATGAAGTTGTACGAAACCTCAAAAAGTGCAATAGTGTACCGTTCTTTTTAGCAATGCAGACGTAGCATTTGCATCCATAAAAAATACTTTAAATCTCAGCAATCCAATAGATCTGTTTGTAATGACTAAAACTTTATATGAATATGTTTTTGCACCCTCCGTCGAATTGTAATCGTCCGCTACAACTTTACACGAGTTAAGCCATTGACAGCATGCATAAGCGAGTGCTGAATTTCTTTTCCGGACTGCATGAATACAGAAGATCATTTCCAAAGCAGTGAAAAACTTGCCAAAAGTAAATATTTAACAGTGTTCCATCATTTTCTTAAAAAACAGAACTCATCTTGAGCGGAGACCTGAGTTTTCGGCATCAATAACAATACACTCTATATGTCTAATAAAGCACGAAAAAGATGAGCACTTCGCACTCAACGAATCAAAATCTAAAAGTGAAATCATAATTTTATTTTGACGCATTATTTCCGAACAAACCCATATGAGAATGAATTCATTGCTATATCATGCGCTTATCACGTAAACATGAAATCAAGAGATATTACATTAAACTTCTACAAATAGACCTACATAAGTGACATCAATCACTATAATATTCATTCATCTTTCGTGCAATGTAGGATCACTAGTGAGTTCAATATATTTTCCAAGCGAAACATATGATTCTCAAACGCTACTTTTGTCATGGACATCCAAAAAACCTACTTCATTCATCATTTCAACCAATATTACATACCTTATTACAAGTACTCCATATTAGTTGCATCCAATCCTTTTAAAAGCCCTTCCACTGATATCTAGTATTTTCTCTCGCATCTACTTTACATCCTCCTTGTCATTTCTACACAATATATTAACAGAAGGCTACTAAAAGCAATTCACTCATGAAGACATATTTTCTCATATTACTTATTTTAGGCATTCATCTGATCCCTGCGTAGTAGTTTAGCAGAATATTGGTAAAATCATTCCACCGTCATATTGCCAACTTTCATGCCAAATGTCACAAGTATGTATCCCTATTTTTGTGAAATACTGTGACAGAACACCAATGAGGCTCATTCCGTCATTGTACCATCTTTTTTCAAGTTACTCACTTCACAACCTTCCTCTCATCACCACAAAATGTGTCAACAGAGAGCTACTACGCATTATTCACCCATCACAGCATCTTTTTTCAATGATCGGATGCCGAAATTTCATTTTATTACTACACAATAGTTTAACATAAACCTGCTACAGATTATTCACAAGTCACGAAGCCTTCATTCGTAGGATTTAATTCGAAACTTTCGTTCTGTTCCTGCCGAAAAGTTTAACAAAACCTTGCTCATGAACATTCTATCCTCGTATGATCTTCATTCATACCATACGGTACACATCTTTGCTTCTACCTCAAAACAATAAGTTCAAACCACCATTGTTACAATCATACTATTTTCACTCCATATTTATTCATATCATCAAGTATGTAACACGCACTGCATTCCTACAAAATAGTTTAAGAGAACACTAATACTAAATATTCCATACTAATGTCATGTGTTTTCTTGTCAGTCGCATCACATCTGAGTATTGCATATGCACAGAACAATTTAACACAATGTTAGTAGGGAACACTCCACCGGCATGTCGCCTGCTTTCATCTGATCCACAGGACGTCGTTTTTAAAATTAGTACAACATAATTGAAGGCAACGCTTCTAGGGGCAATTAATTGACTTCATCATCCTCTTTAGATTCATTTACTTCCGATTCTGGTTTCCATATCTACATAATATTTTTACAGACTATTGGTACGAATTATTCCATTCCCATATCATATTATTTCGCTTCACTTACTTTCGATTTTTGCTTCCACCTCTGCAGGATAGACTAGTCGAACCTTTGTTCCAATAATTCCATACCCATATAATATTTCTGTGCAACATATTTCAGAATAAGCTATCGCTTTCTACAGAGTGTATTAACAGAAAGTTGCTACAAATCATTCAATTGATGGTATACCTTCCTTCGTGTCATCAATTTCATAACTTTGTCTCGATCTCTGCACAACAATTGAACAGGCAACTTCTAAGACTGCCTCCATTATCATATCACCTACTTCCATATCACTTCCTACAACTATTTTCTTCTGTCATTCATAAAATAGTTGATGAGATAGTTACTAAATATAATTTCGTCGTCCTCTGATCCTAATACATATCACTTATTCATAACGGTCACTTGTTTGTCTTCCGAATAATTCAACAGAGAGTTACTAAGAATCATTCCGCCGTCCTGTGGT